TCAAGTAACTAACTCCTTTCTTTTGTGCATTTGTTTCTTTGATGAAAAAAAAAACGGCGGGGATAGGTGTGGAGGGTGCACAAGGCGTCATTTAGCGAAGAGCAGCACTATAATGAACAGATATCAAATCAAACAGAGAGAGAGAGAGAGAGAGAGAGAGGGGGAGAGAGAGAGAGAGAGAGAGAGAGAGAAAATAGTCGGTCTCATAATTATAATAGTATTTGGGAGCGCGTTAGCGCAGTCGATAGGAGACTCGCTTTCAAATCCACTAGCCACTCGCTGCAGCACCCAGTCGGTTTTCGAAACCAGGCGGTTCCCGGGGTTCACCCAGCTTCTAGGAAATAGGTACCAGAGTTAACACTGTGGGGGTAAATTGAGGAACGTCGCTGTAGCTACGAAGTTGCTTGCGGACGGCGACAAAGGCCGAAAGTTTCTTATCAGCTGTCTGTGCTGGTGGCAGAGCACTTATGGTTAATAACCGTGTGCAATGACGCTGGTTCACATCTTCCGACTTTACGTTTATTATAATCATAAACAACAAGTCAACGTTGCTCTTAGAAAACCTTCATCAGCACCCGGCATCAATGGACAGTGTTACATTTACAAACACAAATGTACAAAAAAATTCACGAAACTGAAGTCTTTCCAGGAACAATCAACATATCCATTAAAGCTGTAATGAGCGTATGAATACAGAAAATAAATACTAACCAGAAACAGATGTGGAAAGCGAGGACCGTAAACAAAAAAACAAAAAAAAAACATGTATAGTTTTCATGGAAAAAGTCGCCACTGTAACATTATGTAGGAAATTCACTGTAGACGGAAACGCTGTGAAAAGTAAGGGTAGCTGCCAAAGCAGATACAATTGGTATATAATACAATACGTATGAGCATTTCGCACATTTTATGTCTCCACGTATGAGGCGTATAGGCCAGTTTCCTTCAGCATTACCTTCCTTCCCTGGCAATTCTTTGAAAATTGCGTTGAATAGTACCCTGAAGTATGGGCGACAGCTGTACTAACCATTATATCATCCCGACTCAGAACAACTTATTATTTTAATAATTTAGAAAATGAAGTACTTATTTTTTTTCAGCACTCTAGACTTTGTGGGGTTCTGTAGAAATCGCCCGCCTCCATTCGTTTGTGTGATTGGCTTTCTCTTTCCAGTTGGTGACTGCAGTTTTCGCTTGTTGACTTGATTTAGGTCTGCTTACATATTGTGTTTCCACCGTCTACTATTCAAAAACAACTTGTGAAAGTTAACAATAAGAACCAGAGCCTTTACTGGGTGAGGTACGATCAGCAATACACAGCCTGAAAAAAAAAAAAGGAAATCTGAAACTATGCTCCAACTACCGTACCATCGCATTAATAAGTCATGCTAGCGAAATCCTCTTACGAATTATCATGAAGAGGATTGAAAGAACATAACAATATGAGCAAGATGAAGCACAAGCGGGTTTCAGACAGGGTAGAGGAACTAAGGATCACATCTTTAATATGAGAATAATTTTTTTGAAAAATGCAGAGAATATAACCTAGATCTTCATGCTTGTTTTATTGATTATAGCAAGGCATTTGATTGTGTCCAACACCACAAACTGTGGACTATTATGAAAAGTATGGGGTTTCCATCGCATTTAGTGCATTTAATTGAAAATCTTTATCATGAACAACAGGCAGCCATCAGAGCAGCTGGTGAAACATCTGATTGGTTCGAGGTGCAAAAAGGGGTGAGGCAGGGGTTTATTCTCTCACCATACCTATTCAATATACACGCAGAAAATATAATGAAAAATGTCAAAAATGACCAGACTTGCGACAGTTATGATCCGCCCAAAATTGGTGGCAACCCTATTCCGGAACTCCGCTACGCAGATGACACAGTCCTCCTTTCGGTCTATGGTTGAGCACCAGCAAGGAGATTACAGTTAGAATTTTGAGAGCATGCATCTTCCCTGTGGCTACATACGGATGTGAGTCGTGGACTATCTCTCAGTCCTTAAGAAAGAGAATAGGGGCTTGTGAGCTGAAATGCTATAAAAAGATTCTTCTCAGAATATCTTGGACAAAGAAGAGGAGAAATACTGACATCTTGAAAGATCTGAACATCAAGGAAGATTGGCTGATAAACAGTATCCTGTCTCGCAAGCTGAAATATTTTGGTCATATCAAGCGCCACGACGAATTGGCCAAATTATGGCAGAAGGCATGGTGCCAGGAAAGAGGGGCAGGGGCCGACCGACACGAAGATGGGCACAGGATATAAGTGACTCCTTGAGTATGAAGGTACATGAGGCGGGAGAACTGGCGAGGGATCGAGTTTCTTTCAGGCAGACTGTGATGAGAGCGACGTTCTTCAAAGGACCTGCTACATGATGATGATGACCGTTTTTTGGGGAGGTCGCTATGGTGTTGGCGGTAAGACGACCACCTGCGGATCGGAAGGTCCTGGGTTCGCGTCCTGACAGAGCTGGACTTTTTTTCAGAAATGACTCCCAGGTCGACCCAGCCTTGGGTGGGTACCAGGTGCAGACATTGGAAGTAAAGGCGGCCGGCGTGAAACTGACCACATCACCCCACCAACTGCCAATTGGTCTATAAAAATACAGGTCTTGTCCTACATTCCTAATACGCCTAAAGGCGTTGAAAAGGGATCTTTACTCTTTACTTTACCGTATTCTTGGAAGTTTTATTTCTATTTGATCCGCTTGTCTTTGCAGTGATATGTCTCTGATGTGTACAGTACACTATATATGCCTAACTGTTGTAGCCTGTTAGGCCTTATGATGCGAGTAATTAGTGGTTTTGTCAACATATTATGAACTATTTATTTCTTCATTTCTCTTGGCTCTCCATTCTTTGCTGTTTGTATCTTTGATGGGTCTAAAGATTCATCCTAAGACTCCGAACGAGACACAATCTGCTCGTCACACGTGCCGCCTGTACATAATCATTCCTATGTTCGGTGCACATGTAACCGTTAGTTAACATGTTGAGCTGATAGGTAGCGTTAATCATGTCATCTCTTCAGTCTAATGGGAGCGTTACTGGGAACTTTGGAGAACGCACATCTGTTGTTTGTGGAGCATGCCTTTGTTTAATTAATGTCAGAGGTTATGATTAAAAACTCTCTCTCTCTCTCTTCTCTCTCTCTCTCTCTTTCTCTCTCTCTCTCTCTCTCTCTCTCTCTCTCTCTCTCTCTCTCTCTCTCTTCTCTCTCTCTCTCTTTCTCTCTCTCTCTCTCTCTCTCCTCTCTCTCTCTCTCTCTCTGTATTTGTGTGTCTGTCTTTCTGTCCATAAGTCAGTCTGTCTGTATCTATCTTTCTTTCGCGTTTCCTGTGTGTATGTGTGTGTATCTGTATATGAGTGTGCATATTTAACCACAAGTAGCATGGGGGTTATTTATTCAACATATGTCAAACAGACAAATAATTCTGGATTAGTGCTATGGCCTAGTCCGCCGCCTGTACTAACTAGTTCTCTTGTTGAGCTCTATTGATCCATTGAGCATAAATCAGTTCTAATTATCCGACATGATGACCACTGGCGCAAAATCTAAGCGTAAACCACCAAGCACGACTGATTTATAAAATGTATCAAATATTCTCCAGGGCTGGGGTAACCTGTCCTTTTCTATACGAATCATAAAGACAGACTGCTTTGATGCTGACGCTGCAGTGGGGGGGGGGGGGGGGGGTCACTAAAAACCAAGTGAATGACATTCTTTAAATGAGTTACCTTCCCATCCGTTTCCATTTTTGTAACAACTTTGTTACAGTTTTTTCTGACAAATTGGTAAAGTTTTGCTGCAAAGTTTGAGTTGTAGTTTATGTTTGTAATTATGCAAAGCGAAATGTTAACAAAACAATAATTTTAAAAAGAATTGTTGGCGCTTCTGCAGGAGTATACAGTCGCACTAATGTTATGTTTGTTTATTTTATGCTTGCTCTTACAATCATATCAGATATAGCTGGCATGACTCATGGAATCGCAACAAAAAGCCTTCGAGCTAAATGGATACATATAATTCAGAAGTCACGCTTCAAATTCTTCACCTGGATCTACACACTGCAGCATGTTGGAGTGAAAGTAATCAACGAGCGGACCAGCTGGCAGGCAGTGACTAATACAAGTGATGAGACGTCTATGCCACCATCGTGTTCAAGATTGGAGACATTATAAACCACTTCTCCAGGTGGACAGTCAGTAGAAGTACATTGTGATATCTATTGCATAGGTGGACGTCGCGCATGGGAATATCTAATGTGCAGTGATTCAGTTGTGATAACATAACATTTACTCTTTCAGTTTCAACTGGTGATTACTTTAACTGATTGTATTCTGATAATTGTTAACTTTTAGAGGAAACCTGCAAGTTTAGATATTTTAAGGTAGTAAAACGTTGTTGTTTCAAGAAGTTAAACTAACAATTCGGATCATCATCATGTAGCAGTTTTTTAGCAGAACGTCGCTCTCATCTCGGTCTGCCTGTAAGAAAGTCCGTCTCTCGACAGCTGTCCCGCCTTTTGCACTTTCCTTTCCGAGACGTCACTTATATCCTGTAACCGTCTTCCCACTGGTCGGCCCCTGCTCGTCTTTTCTAATAACATTCCTTCTGCTATATTTTTTCCAATCCACTGTGGCGCTGAAAAGGCCTAGAATAAATCAGTTTTCTAGGCAAACTGCGGCTTACTAGCCAGCCTTCCTTGATGCTCAGACCTTTTAAAATGAATTTCTTTTTTACCCCCTTTGTCGTGGTATTCTGAGAATATTTCTATGGCACTCTAGCTCAAAAGCCCTTATTCTGATAATTCGTATAACATAGGTTAATGTCACAAACTGTTTGCGAGAGAAACAGTTATAGAAGTATGCTGTTTATGAATTCAGTTATGGAAATATGATGCGCTGCATAGTACAGAACGAGTTAGTTAACTTAGTTCCTAACACCTACAAAACATCCTACATACTCATCCTGCATTTACTTCCACAGGATATTGCTGTTCTGCTACATTCGAATGTTCATCGCAATCAAGAAACACTCCCAGCGTCTACGGGAGAACTCGACTATGGAGGAGGACTTCATCTTGTCACAGCAGAAGAAGGTCGCCAAGACGCTGTTTATTGTTCTGGCCACGTTCATAATGATGGCCCTACCCTATCACCTGTATGCCACATACGCAACCATCGAGAAAGACAAGAATCATTTCCCCGTATACCTCAATCCATTGGTAAGAGATAGCGTTATATTCTTGTGGATGTTTTGTTTTACATTCATTTATTTCTTTTTCTTTTTCTCCCCCTCCTCCGATTTCTCATCCTTTGACTGATACATTATGCTGTGGTTTACATTTAGGTAGCGAAATGTGTGCCTTTTGACCCGAGACATTCTATTTATTCGAATCTTTCATAATCACCTATAATGACATACTTGTAACGAGGCTAGTTATAAACCCGCCGCCCTTTTGCACGTATCACAGAAATTAAATCCAAAATCAAAACGGGAAGTTTTGATTATTTTTATCACTTGTAGATCAGGTCACTTCATGGGAATTCGATTACATCTCAGCAGAGATAATAAAAAAAAAGGATGCTTAAAATCAGGTATTATATCATGTAAAGAAATTTGCACTAGGAATTGTTCTTTTTAAATATGCAGCAACATAGACACACAGTTGCAAACGCACACACAGGAAGAGAAGAAGAAAAAAAAAAGAAACAGCATCACTGGCGTATGACATGGAGAAGAATGCTCGACATTGAATGAAAAACCAAAGATACCAGTCTTTTCACCTTAAAAACTTGGAAGTTATGCGTAAGTAAAGTATTAGATAGTTGTTGGTCATGGTCTTAAGTATGTAGGAGTAGTCTCATATGTATGTAACTGTATATTAGTACGTTTGCTGACACTTTACCATTCCATTGAAAGATAAAGATGCCAAGAATCGCCTCTCCTTGTCTTCCGCTATCTGCACAGTAATCTTTACCGTTGTCACAGAATGTTGCAATCTTTATTTTCTCAAAATGTGGCCAAACAGTGATGAATGCATCCTTCTGGTATTTGCGAGTAGGCGATTCTTAATGCAACATCTAGTTTGAGAGTGGAGCTTGAGGCAGTTACTGCAGCCTTCTGCTGGCTTTATAACCACTAGCACGTATATTTCATGGTTGTAATTGACTCACAAAGCACGTTGAGAAAGGTAGAGAGATAAGTGCGCTCAGTGCATATGGGCATGCATCGCTTCACAGGCTTAACTAGGCAACGTCCTTTTATGTGTTCTCCATGGGGCACAGGTATGTTGAGAAACGAACAGGCAGACAGACTGGCTGGTTCTGCGCCAATTGATGAATGGATGCGTGATAAGCACGATGTGGTCAGTGCCCTTAGAGAGCGAGGAAACAGTTTGGCAACACGAATAGATCGTCACGGCCTGAAGAAAATTGTGCAGCGAAGAGTGACTAGGTAATCAGACACACAGTTAGACTGCACCTGGTACTGTCGGAATGGGATCAATACGCTGCTGCTGAGGTTGAATATGGAGTGCTTATTGGAACATCTGAGTGCTGTGATATCAGTTCTCAACTCGACTCATCTTTCTGATGTTTATATTAAATTGTAGTAGGGTTATAGCTTCTTTCTTCTGCTGACACCCTGTCTGTTAAAATTGTTGTATTAAAACTAAACGCAGACTGCGACCCACTTTGCCTATTTTCTGCAGTACATCTTCGTAAAAATAAATATATAATTATGCACATTTCTAGTTGGTAGTAAATTGCGCGGGGCGGTGTGGGGGGAGCAAAGCCTGGCATATGATACGTTAATTTCTGGTTTGAGAATGGAGGTGGAGGCAGTCACTTCTACCTTCAGCTAGATGGAGAATCAGCTGTACACACATGTCGTCATTGTAATTGACACAGAGCATGTTGAGTAAGGTGGAGACAGACTCGCTCCGTGTAAAATGGCAAACATTGCTTAAGAGGTCCCGGGTAGTTAGCAATTTTCTCCAGGTGAGGCTGGTGTGATGGAAAACGAGCAGGCAGACAGACTGGCCTGTTCTGCACTACTTGGTGGTTAATCGATGTATGATTAGCTAAATGTTGTGACGGCCCTTTTGGAGCAAGTGAACAGTGCGGAGGCACACATAGAGTATTACGGTATGAGGAGAATGGTGCTTCGGAAAGTTACCAGGGGATCTGGCCGACCTCAGCACTCAAGGGAAAGGCGAGACGGATGTACATTCAGGCAGTTACTGGTGCCATCGGAGTTGGAATTCTCTGCTTGCTGCTGAAGATTTAGACGGAGCGCTTGTACGCGTGTTAAAAGCGGTGTTTTTTTAAAGGCATTAACGTATCCGTTTGCCACTTACCAAAGTTGTGTATGTGTGTGTTGGGTGGCGGCTTGTGTCTAACACCTGAGAATTCACTCATTAACTCCCAACTGTAATCGTTACTGCATACTATATACACCTTAGTGTATTTCTGCAGGAAATCTAGCTTATTCAATAACTTACTTACACACATGACACCTTTATCAACACCAAGTGCCGTGTCGATAAGCATAGACTGTCATGTTTCGCCATCTCATACCATCAACAGAATTACTGATCAGGACAATGTTTTTGTCTCGCCCCATCCATATGGAGAACTGGTCCACGTATATCTCTCTTTGCCTTCCTCTAGCTCTCCTTCCATCAATTTTGCCAGCTGTTACAAGTGTCGGGTCCAATCCTTCTCATAGCATGTAAAAAAAAAAATGTCTATCTCCAATTGTTCTAAAAAGTTTTAAGACTTTCCTCTGTCTCGATGAGGACTGTTTCTATCAGTGGTATTATTTTTGTGTGTCTCAATGAGGAATGTTTCTGTCAGTGGTATTCTTTCATTGTGTCTCGATAAGGATTGTTTCTATCGATGGTATTCTTTCATTGTGTCTTGATGAGAACTGTTTCTGTCTTTGATATTTTTTCATTGCGTCTCGATGAGGATTGTTTCTATCGGTGGTATTATTTCATTGTCTCTTGATGAGGACTGTTTCTGTCGGTTGTATTCTTTCATTATTTCTCGATGAGGACTGTTTCTATCAGTGGTATTCTTTCACTGTGTCTCGATGAAGACTGTTTCTATCTGTGGTATTCTTCGCATTTTCTTTTTAAAAAAACCCCACATCTGTGAAGCAAGTAAATGCTTATTATTTTTAGCCTATTTTTGATATAATGAGTATTTTCCTCCCCAGGCACGTTAGCCATAATAAACAGAACATATCTAGCTCATATAAATAAAGGTAATATAATTTTAATTCTTCTTTTCTCTTCTTCACTTTCTTCTAGTGTCTTGGAAGATAAAGTTTTTTTTTTTTTGTTTTTTCTTTTTTAAATATCTGTCGGCCATTGCCATATGCACTTGATACAGCTGTAGAATGTGATGTCACCGTTCCACTTTGTTCTTGGTCTATCTCGGGCTCTACGTCCCTCTTCTTGTTTGGCGAATGCCACATGCGCCAGTGGTGTGAACAAGGTCCTGTTAGTATAGTTAGGTCAGTTGTTTATCCTTTACTGAACGTTGCAGGACCACTCACATCTTTGTTTGTGTGTGCTCTTTTGGCTTTACTATACAGAAGGCATAGTTTGTTGGGAAACAGCTTGCGCTGCCCAAGCAGGGCTACCGAAATGTGTATTTTTTTTTTTAAATAGCATAAAAAATTTTTTTTTAAAGGGATGAAACACACCAAGAGATACACAATTTTTCATTTTTGATTTAAAAAAAACGCGCGCACACACACAGACGCGCGCGCACACACACACTTACATACACAGAGTTAAAGTCAGTGGCTTAATGGTATGCTAATTCACTTATCTACACATATGGATAACATCAGATGGAAGATATGAATGAATTCCCCCCCCCCCCCCCAATCTATGCACATGGATAAAATCAGATGGAAGATGTTGAGTATGAAGTGTCCTCCTCCTTCTCCCCCTCCCGACACCCCCACCCCCCCCCCACCCCCAATTATAAAAGAAAAGTTCTTATCCACTAAATCCTTGTCATTGAAAATTTGACAGAATAATTCATATTTGTTACCCAGAACCTGTTTTAACGTATGTCTGTGAATCCTGGATAATTAGTAAGGACGCACAAAATCTCTGAAGGCCCTCGGAGACGTTGCTTCACAGAAGGATGCTTAAAAATTCTTGGACAGCCAAAATGAGTCATCCCAATGCTTGGAAAGAGGCTAAGGGGCTAAGACAACTAATCAGAAAACATTAGAAAGAGACGGTCATCAATTTTGGCCACATTGTGAGAAAGATAGAAAAACTGAGCCTGTTGCCACGACTGGGAACATTTATTGAAAGAGACGGGGCCAGAAAACAGGGGGACTCTTGACAGCTTTTTCTGGTGAAATCGAAAGATATCGGGACACGAACTGGCAGATGTTGTTGGAGATTTCAAGTTCGGTAAAATATTTTCACCCTGTTCAGTCGGAAAAGTTTTTGATGATGAAGGAAGGGTATGTACGCTCTTGCAGGTGGGAAAAAAAGTATCCCTCAAATCCTAAAAGTTGCTGCCACATTGAGGTATACACCAGCCCCTTTTATCCAACAGAAGCTCAACCCAAACACTGACGACTTGCGGAATTTTACTCGCGGGAACAACTTCCTGTTCTTTGAGTACAAGGGCTCGATCCCCGAGGTGGACGGTTTAGGGGAAAAATCATTCTCGTATTTTTCGGAGGTTAGGGCCTCAACAAGTAGTACTCCAAAAAGACAGATGTGTTACACTATAGCCAACGTTCAACGTGGAGGCGACATATTTTTAAAACATCATAGTATTATTAATGTAGTTAGTATTTGTAGCCATCCTAATACCTGTTACGTCCCAGCGTGGCTCATTTATTATTTCTTCTTCTGCCTTCTATTCCCCCAATGGAGCATAGGCTCCCAACTAACTTAGCCAAGTGTATCTATCCTTCGCTGTTGCATGCAGCTCACCCCCATGTTTAAATCAGTGTCTAGCTTCCTTCTCCGTTTTTTTCTGCCTGTATTTTTATGTCCCTATGGGTTCCATTGCCAGGTCATTCCTAGTTTTATTGCTTTCTCGGGTTTTCCTAACGTATGCTCTGTCCGGCTCCAGCGTTTTTTCTTCATCTCTCAGTCCAGTGGAGCTTGTTTATTCTCTCCCAAAGCTTAACGTGAGTGATTCTGTCATACCGTGTAATTCCATTTATGCGTTCGCAGGCACCAGTTAATGAATGTTTTAGTTTATTAGTAACTGTTTTAATTGTTTTGTATGTATCCAGCGCGGCTCAGTACTTTCTGTTATCACTTAACAATAGATACGCACGTCTCTTTTATCTTCATGTTCATACAGCGATGCTCGGCACGTGTCTGCATCCTGTGCAGTTATTGGGGGGCAGCCAAGTTCGTCAGAAAATCGAATACTCTTGACTTTCTTGGTTTAATACAGTTGGAAGAATCAGCAGCGCCGATACCTGGCAAATGTTGAAAAATGAGGAGGTGGGAGCTCAGACCCCACTCTACCACCTCGCTCCTGCCTCACACATGGGGGAAGGGTCAGGGCTGGAGGGGCATGATTCTTGTATGAGAGGGAAACAATTATAATAATGTATTGAGTTGCAAATACATATAATAACTATACGCATACTATTGGAGCCGGACTTCTTTTTCACAAGTGACCTTGGCTCCCAGGTTTACCCAGCCTTGAGCTGGTACAAAGAGCAGTCCTTGGAAGTAAAGGCGGCCGGCATGATGCTGACCACATCACCCATCTTGTGCCGTTGGTCTATACAATATAGGTCTAGCCCTATATGCCCATAAGGCCCGAAAGGCGTGGCAAAGGGTCCTTTAGTTCACTACCGCATGTAGAGATTATGCCTGTAGCACATATTCAGTTTTTTATATGGTTCTTGTCCACACCCTCACAGTTCTGAATCCCCAGGCTTGAATTTCTTCTATATATTTGAAATTGGGATTCCAAGTTCTTCAACGAATAAATTATCTTAATTTCTTATTTGTAATACAGTTTCAACTGGGCTTTCTCTTAAACTATCATCTCGCAACGGCTAAAATAATTGCTAATAAAAGTAAGAAGCAGTCCTGAACAGAATGTAAGGAACTGAATCACACCTGTAAACTTAGACAAGGATTTCCTGTTGTTGATACAGTAGGTTATTATATCTCTGAACTCTTTATCTACCTCATGTTTACAGTGGCTGATTGTACATAGAAAACATCAGCACTAGTCTTATCCCACGACATGAATGATGTGGCTCTGCAAGATTTTATCCTTTAGTTTAATCTTTTTTTAGAACGGGATTTTTTGGAGGGAGTGGGGGGTGGGGCGGGGCGGGGGGGGGGGGGATTCTCAAAGTATATAGGTAAAACCCTACATGCCAAATGCCAGAAAGCGCGGAAAAGTGTTATTTACTACTACTTGCATTTTTAAAAATTCAATTCCCAGATCCGCTTTAGACGGGTTTGAAAAATAAATTCACATTGCCCTTTCCCTCCCAACTTAAATCAGGACTAGGAAATGTTGTGGGAAGTAAAGGCATGATATTGACCACATTACTCACCAAGGGCTTTTTGGTGTATACAGATATCAGTGTATCATCACTTGCCTGATCACTGGAGTAAAAAGGGTCTTTTCCTTTAGGAAAGAAAATTATAGGAGACTAAAATTTGGGTTGTTAGTCGCCGTGGACTGAAAGTACTGGACAGTTTTGGGAAATGTCATTCTGGTCTCAAGACTCAGTGAAGGGAAAACCCCCATCTGCACCTTCACGCGGTAGAGGACGGTAAACGCACTGCGGTGTGGCCAACGCAGCTATGGGGACCGAGTATCCGCCAGGATAATTGGACTCCTCTAGGGTGCCCTCTGCTGTTAGCATGAGCATCACAGAGCAGGGCACTCACTTGCCCTAGCAAGCGAAAAGGTTGCTGAAGGCTGAGGACGTAGTCTAAAGCCATGTGGATGTGGAAAGCAACGGGAAACTGCCACATTACTACCCCAAGAAACTCATCATGGAAGATTGAAACAGCCTTAAAAGTCTATGGTTAAGCACCAGCAAGGAGATCAAAAATAGAATTGCATCTGGACTATCTCTTAGTCCTTAAGAAAGAGAATAGGGGCTTTTGAGCTGAAATACTATAGAAAGATTCTCAGAATATCTTGGACAAAGAAGAGGAGAAATACTGGTCTGAACATCAAGAAAGATTGGCTAATAAACAGCATCCTGTCTCGGAAGTTGAAATATTTTGGTCATATCAAGCGCCACGACGGATTGGAAAAAATTATAGCAGAAGCCATGGTACAAGGAAGGAGAGGGCAGGGGCCGACCAACACGAAGATGCGCACAGGATATAAGTGACTCCTTGAGTATGAAAGTACATGAGGCGGGAGAACTGGCGAGAGGCCGAGTTTCTTTCAGACAGACTGTAATGAGAGCGACGTTCTGCAAAGGACCTGCTACATGATGCGGATGATCGCCGTGGCGATGGCGGCTAGACGCCCGTCTGCAGATCGGAAGGTCGGGGATTCGGGTCCTGACAGAGCCAGACGTTTTTCAGAAATGACCTTGACTCCCAGGTTGGCCCAGCCTTGAGAGTTGGGTACCAGCTGCAGTCCTGGGAAGTTATGGCGGCCGTCGTGATGCTGACCACATCACCCACCAAGTGCCGATCGGTCTATAAAAATATAGGTTTAGCCTTATATACCCAGAACGCCTAAAGGCGTGGAAAAGGGTCTTTTACTTTGCTTTTGGTTTGGATTGTTGAACACTTAAAGCTTGCAGTATAATTAAGAACACAAGCATATAAGTCAAGAGTTTTTTATTCAATGAGACTTAGTAATGTTAATAATATAATATTTTTAGCATTAGATGTGTTTATGTGAGATACCCGAGGAGATTTGTCTAATTATTGTGTGCTATTGATCTCCTCCATACCTACAGGCCTACATGTTCCTCTACCTCAGCTCAATGTGTAACCCCATCATATACGCTTTTCGATCGCCGGCTTTTAGAGAAGGCTACAAAGAAATCATGTGCCAGACTCCAAACTATGTCATTAGCGATGGTGAGTAATTCTTTACTGTCACTTTCACATATGCGCGCGTGTGTGTGTGTGTCTGTGTGTGCGCCCGCGCGCACACTTTTGCCTATGATTCTATGACTTATGAGTTGTAAACACAGTTTCTTGATTCTAACTGCCCGGATTCAACTCAGCTGCATGCGGTTTGGTTACAGACGGCTTTGCGTTAATAGCAGTTTGAGCGTCGATTATTTAAAAGCAGTGGCTAATTACTGAACTCAAATGCCTAATCACAACCGCAAACAGTCAATAAATACTGTACGGATTTGTTGGCGATATCCTGTTAAGGATATGCAACTAACCTTGTGTAAACTGCATGTAAAATAATAATCTATTTATGCATATAACCACATTTTATAATTTGCAGCTTAACGTATCCAGATTGATCAAGAGTTCAATACAGTGCTAGGATTTTTTGAACACACGTCTGTTCATGTAAATTGTATGCTTTTGCTGTGTACGTCAACAGTTTGATTTACTATCGTTTCCCCCCATATAATCATTTAGAATCATTCTCTCATACGGCATGTACGTGACTTTGATAACCCACGATTGGGCTGACTCCACTTTACTGACGTAGCCAGTAAAAAGTGATCGAGATTTGCCTATTTTAACACAGCGTCAGTGTAAACAGATTGAATGCCGGCTTTTCTGGGTGTGTTTACAGATCTTATCGTTGGTAATTGACTGGAAATGCTTACATAGGCCGACCATTGAGTTGAAGAAGAGTGGATCTACATCGTGATAAGGAAATGTGTTTGCGAAGACATTGAAAGGCAGTAAGTGTAGTTGTGGTCTTTGAGATAAGCCATGAAAACATAGATGGATTTAATTAGAACGTTTGTGGGATGCGGTCTGTTCTGCAGTGGCCACACGAGATCACCATTGTGTATCGAATGCTTTACTGATAGTCGCTGTGATCACCCCCTGTGGGAAGACATGCCCATCCTTCATTAATTCTTCTCTGCATCACACATTTTAATGGATAGGCTATCTGTGATGTTGATGTTGGCTTTCATTTTGCCTTCTTTTTCGGGAATCCCCCTCTCCATTACGGTCCATTCTAAACAACTTTGGCTTTGGGGTTTGACGCAGAAACGCTCAGAACAACGGGGTTACACCAGTGTAGTACTTGGTGAAGGCGTTACACATGCTGTAATTATCTCATTTGCCTATTGGATTGCCATCCAGGGTGCAACTGTTCTAATCAATTGAATATCACGTGTAAGGATTTGAGACTCAAAGGACTTAAAAAAGTTTTTTTTACAGTTAGTCAGTCACTCAGCCTCCTACAAAGCGCACTGTCTGAAAAAGAACAACTGCAAAGAAGGAAGCTAGCGACCTCACCTCGATAGGCAGAGACCTAGAATATGTTAAAGCTTAACACTTTTCTTCCATCTAAGAAAGCATTGAGGAAAGACATTATCGGCTTCACCTCATTATGATGTAACCATAAAAATGAGAAGACTTAACACTTCTCGGTAGCGGCTTGGATGATACTTTTTCCTTATTGACACGGCAACAGCATGGATTTCCAATTCAGAAACACTGGCTTCATTTGTTCGGCTCTTTAGTACTGCCGGTTTTATCTGCAATGAAACTTAACCGTAAATTTTCAAAACGTTGGGCTACCACTTCGGTACAATCAGCCAACATGGAACGTGTGATCAGGTTTAACTCCAAGAGAAATAACAGCGAAAGGGCCTGTTTGTTATTGTTGAACGGAACAGCCTAAACAACAGCAGCAGTAACAACCCCAACAACAGTGGAATCCTGGATCGGTGAGGAGATCCTGCTGGGAGGTATTATTTCCTGCAGTTTGAACTGTCATGTGGCGAAGTGGTATTTTCCTGTCAGAGCAAAGAACGGTGGCATTTACTGTGACGCGGGTCAGTGTAAGGCGATAAAGGTAGAGAAAACTGAATTGATTACATCTCTAGACCATGAGGAATAAACACCTGCTCAGTTTTGAAGGTCACCGAAATAGCGACGAGTGATGCGCGCTACCTGTAATAAATTAGAAAGCTGACTCCAGGAAATGTCGGTGTGTTGGGGAAGGAAAACAGGGGGATAGACTGGCTGGTTCTGTACCACTTAGTTATGAATTGACGTACGTCATGTTAAATATTGTAGAGGTCCTATTGTAACTAGAATACAATGTAAAGGTACAAATAAATCATCATGTCTGCGGCGAACGGTGCTGCGAGGGGTGGCCAGGGGAAATAGCCAACGCTCAACACCCAACGGAAAGGCGACACGGACAGGTACGATCGACATTGAAACTCTGCTTGCTACTGGGGAGGGGGACACTGCGCGTATGGAAATGTCCCGAGTGCTGTGATGTCGATTCGTTATTAAATATTTGAAAGAAAGTTAAACCGAGTATCTGAAGTTGAAAAGTTAGTTGCAAATCCACTACAGACCAGGGCTAACAAAACCCAACATTTATTGGCTGTTGTGTGGTGTAACGTAACGAAAGTTCAGTGCATTTGAAGACAAATGTCTGACGAAAATGCCGCACATAAAATGGGATGCATTCAAGAGAGGTGGAGAAAAAAGAAACATGTCTGGGCAACCACTAGTATCAGCAGTTAGTTATGAGACACAGAAAACGGCGCTATGTTGGACACATCCTGAGAAGTAAAGAGCAGAGAATCACCATACAGGATACTGAATAAACTGGATTGAAGAAGTGAAGACATCCAATAGATACCCAAAAACGAACGTTGATGAGAGAGGCTAAGGATACTGGACTGGTTTTCGTCCAACATGTTGAAGGGATTGCAAGGGATATAGCGGAAGGTAAATGTAAAGATAAAGGTAAAGTCGGGAGATGTGAATCAGCGTCATGACACCCGGTTATATACCATAAGTGCTCTGCCACTAGTACAGACAGCTGATAAGAAACTGTGCGCCTGTGTTGCCGTCCGCTCGCAACTCCGTAGCTACAGCGACGTTCCGCATTCATCTGCAACATATAATGGCTCAACAGGACAATTGTGATCAGGGTTATGTTGCTGTGTGGTTTAACAGTTTGTATTTTCTGTTGAACACCTGGCGCTCATATTGTTGTCGAAATCAATACACACAAAAAACCGCTTGGTATATGTAAAGATATTCGTCTTTTGCCAGGTCAAAGCAGTCAAATAACACCTTGATAAAAACCATACCTGGAGTTCAAGAATTGAAGGCGGGCAAACAAGAGGCAGATAACGATACACAGGGCAGGGAACCATCACGAAATAAGACAAACAGTAGTCTGAGAGAGTGTACAGCAAGGGCGAGAGACAGATTGTGTTGGAGATCTATAGCAACCAGTATTCATTGTAGTGATGGCGCCTGACTGATTGAGTTTGCACGTATCCGGTCAAACATAACAATTAGGCGCATGTTGTCCCGTCATACAAAAAATGTATTCTTTTCTTTTTCTATTCTCTGAGGAAGAAAGCTTCTTTGGATAAAACACCATTTATGACTAACGTTTTCTTTCTTCGCTTTCCGTGCAGAAATATGTTTTCTCTAAAATAAAATCAAAGTCGCAGTTTTTTTAAGCAGCTTACTTCTTTTTCTCCCTTCTAACCCCCAGTGGAGCATAGCCCCTCAACCAACTTACGCCAAGTCGTCCTTCGTTATCCACGCTGCTCTCTCCGTTTAATTCCACTCTCTAGCCCCTTACTTCATGCGGTTTGTGGTGCGAAGAAATTCTAGTTATATTGTTCTCAGGTTTTCTCAGAGTATGTCCTATCCAATGCCAGCGTTCTTTCTTCATGTCTTGGTCCACTTGAATTTGTTTAGTTTTTTCCCCCAAAGCTCTCTATTGATAATTCTATCATGCCATTTAATTCCTTGTATTCTGCGCAGTCACCTGTTGATGAATTTTTGTAGTTTGTTAGTTGTCCTTGTTTCTGCTCCAAACAACAGTACTGAGTTAGCAGCTTTAGCCATTGGAAAATGGAATCTGTCTGATTGAATTTAAATCAGTTATTGTAGTTGTGTCATTAATTGGGTTCCCCTGATGTTGTTAATGTTGTTACAATGTTTTCTACCTGTATATTCTAGTGCATGGACATTATAGAATTACAAATCCATGTTTCTTCTGTATACATATTATTCGGCCCCAGCTTCACTCCCCCAATTCTTGATTCTCTAAAATGTATTGTTTCCTCCCCCAAGCTCCTCCTTAGCGATTCTGACAGACCATTTAATTCCTTCTATACCTCATAATTCATTTTTACAGTCTAACATATCTTAATATCAAGGAAGATTGTCTAATAAACATGATCTTTTCTCGAAAGCTGAAATATTTTGGTCATATCAAGCACCATGACCGATTATTTAAAAAAATAGTAGCAGAAAACATGATACTAGAACGGAAAGCAGGGGCCGACCAGCCCGAAGATGGGCAGATGATATTAGTCACTCCTTGGATATGATAAGTGCACGCGTCGGGAGAGCTGGCGAGAGACTGAGTTTCTTTCAGGCAGACCGTGATGAGAGCAAAGCTTTGCAAAGGACCTGCAACATGATGGTGGTGATGATGATGATGATGATGATGATGATGATACCAGTCAGGAAACATCAGGCTTTATTTCTGCTAGTCTTATTTTATACAATTTTTATAGTTCTCATTTTGTATACACCTTATATCGATATGTTAGGGAAAGCACAGTTTTATACCACAAATGGAAATGCAATAACAGAACATGCATATAATCAGATCTTCGGGAATCCGTATTGACGAGACAAATATAGCAAGGTTTTCAGCAAAACGTCGTAATAATGTATTTTTCTCGAGAGGCGAAGGGTATAAGCGGTATCATTATATAAGAATAGACGTAAATAGATATTGCGTTATGTCCCAAGGCCGACCTGAAATTGGGCGGCTTTCTTTGCTATGAAGTGCTAATGAGACTGTTTAACGAGTATTTCAGTCATGGCATGTGTTTGCGAAGAATTTAAAAGGCAGAAAGTGTGGCCGTGGTCTT